TTAATTAGAAACATGCTTCCTTCATTGTCAATTAAATTTTATTTTGTGAAAATCCTACATAATTGCAAAAATGGTTCATTTGCCCCAACCCTCACTCAAAAGTTAAGTTCTAAAGAAAATGAGAAAGACCTAGGTAATTTACTAATCATAATTCCAGAATCTCAGATATGATAATTGTGATCAAACTGTAGTTAATTAATTTATTTTCTGCTCTAAGAAATAAAGGAATTCAAATGAGTGAAAAAACAAAAAGACTTAAACTTTCTTTAAAAATAGTCATTTTGATACACTAAATTTGTGCATTTATCTCCCGATATCTAAATATTATTTATATATGACTATTTGGATTGGTCCTTTATTTCACTTCTAGTATGTAAGATCATCTTCATCATTTTACTCTTTTAAAATAATCCATTTCTAAATTGTATAGATATTTAATCAGGAATGTTGTAGACTTAGGGAATTCAATTCTGGACCCTTAGAAGTCAATGAGAATTTTGCCATTGGAGTCAAAGAGTTTTGACATTAACTTCACAGAAACAGGATTTCATCAAGGGTCTCTGAAAATGACCCTCCTATTGAGCTCAGAGCTAGAAATAGGAGGGCAGATTAACAGTTTCCCAGCAGGAAATATAGCATTTGCTTCCAGTCTTGACTGGTCCTGAGATCTCAGACCTTAAAGTTGTAACATTATTAAATAAAGAAAATCTATTTTAGGTAACTTCTAGAGGCTTCTAAAGTTGTCTAGTTATAATGTTTTGCTCCCTGTGAGACTTACATTGATGGACACATAGTACTACCAAGGATGCCAGTCATTACAGGCAGAGGGATGCTAAAATGATACCAATATAGTTAAAAAAAACCAACCCTTTAAAATGATTCTGAAATAGTGATTCTATAAGATAGTGGTATATATAGAATACCTAATGATGTGGTGTGGGACCTATATAATAATGTATTAGCTGTACATTTTATCATTTGATGTTTGTTTAAGCATCACTAGCAGACTTAGGACCCTCTGTTTGCAAAATCACCAGTGAAGTCAATAGGATCCCATGTGTAGAAAGCTGTCAAGATAGGGCACTACATCTGTTAGTGATGGTCAGTTACATAGTTATACATTTTATAAATTGATACTATATTATTATTTAATGCTGATGATGTGCTAATAAAATTTATCACTGGAAACATAAAACTCTTTTTTTAACTGATTACTAATATTTTCAACTTCAAATACAAATCCTGCGCCTGTGTTAGCTGCTATGTTTGTGGCATCCATTGCACCAGTGCAGCAGCAGCAACAGCTGCTTGGAAAAGAGTAGAAAAGGCTTAAATCCATTCATCATGCAGGCCATTCAGCCAATTCATTCTACTCATTTAACCCAATCAATTTACCAGAGTCCTGTGGAGATGGGGAGGTGGTGTCAGGGACAGGCAGAGGATGATGCTGGCAGTCCTTCATCACAACTCTGCACACAGGGGGCCTTATGGTGTTGATTGTTCTCCACAGACCAGAGCAGATATAGAGCCCACATCCTCCTGAGGTGACAGAGCAGGCCTTTTTAGGTGCAGTGTTGCTCTCCCCAATTGGGGGGGAAGGAGGAAAGGGACTGAAAAGGAACCCTGATCACAGCCTGTCCTTTCTGTACCTGTCAGGCTATTGCTCCTGGCTGGTCATCCAGTTGAAATAAGCGGTTGAAATAAAACAAAGATTCACAGACTGACATTTGGGTCATGGAATGTCAGAACTCTTCTTGACCATGACCAAAGTCCGGAATGAAGAACAGCCCTTATTGGCAAAACACTGATGAGGTATAACATAGACGTTGCTGCCCTCAGTGAAATCAGATTTGCTGATGAGTCCCACCTTAAAGAGGTGGGAGCAGGCCACTCCTACTACTGGATTGACAAGACCAAGGACGAGCCAAGACAGTCTGGGGTAGGGTTCATCATATAGTCTGACGCTGCCTGCAAGCTTGACTTGCTCACCAACAGAGTCAATGATCAAGTTACGGTGCTCCGCATACACTTGTCCAGATTGCAACCATCATCAGTGCCTATGGGGTGACAATGACTCATACAGATGAAGTCAAAGAGGTATTTTATGAAGTGCCACACCAGGACAAACTCTTTGTCCTTGGAGACTTTAATGCTTGTGTGGGAGCCAATGGTGACAGGTGGAGCAGGTTGCTAGGCTATCATGGCATTGGAAGGTCACACTCCAATGGCCAACTACGTCTGTCCAAGTGTGCCGAGTTCAATCTCACTATTACCCACGCAGTCATCCAAAAGGCCAACAAATATAAGACAACATGGATGCAACCCAGGTCAAAACAGTGGCACATGCTGGACTATGTAATTGTGCAATCTAAAGACATTAAAAATGTGCACATCACCCGTTCTTTGAGAGATGGCAAATGCTGATTAGCCTATCAGCTTGTGAGAAGCATCAGGTTGCTATACTTCTCACAAAAGTGTCCCAGAAGATGCCTCAAACCACCTAAGACTATCAATGTGACTGCCATGAAAGACCCCAGTATTCTAGGTTAAATAACTTTCCTCTTCTGGTTTGAATTATTCACTTTATATGAAAGCAAACACATATACAATCCCCTCTTTGTTAGGGTCTTGAATAAGAGTCTGATCATGCAGGTTCCAATTCAGCCAAAGCACTCGAGGCACAGGCTCAGGTCCACCCCTATTCAGCATATATCTAAATTTCAGCATATGCTTACATATTGTCCTGAACAGGGATAAACTTAAGCATGTGCTTAAGTACTTTGCTGAACTGAGCCACAATCCTTCCACAGGGAACGCTTGAAGTCAATAGATTTGCCTGAGTAAGAGCTGCAAGAGAATTGGGTACTTAACTGTTGTTTATTGATTATTTTAAAGATCATCTGTCTCTAAATCCATTCTAAGGCTGTAATGAAGTATCTCCCTTTATTCTAAACTTTCTGGTAACTATTTCTTTTAAAAACAAAAGAGGATTAAAGCTATTTTGTATGAATGGGACATTTTGATAAATTACAAATCCACAACTCTTGTACATCAATATTACTAAAGTAAAACAAATTTAGGTAAGCATGGAAGCTGAAGACCAAATTGTATAAAAAGGCATTATTACAATAATTGTAGGAGTCTATAAATTTTTACGACCAGATGTGGTGTGAAAACAGATGTAACAGACACAGAAGGGATGCTCAGATGGACCATGAAGATGATTAAGGAGTAGGAGAGGCTTCCATATAGGAAGAGATTTAAAAGATTGGGACTCTTTAAATGTAGGGAGATGAATAAGAGGGAAGATGATGGAAGCGTACAAAACAGTGAATGGCATAGAGAAGGTAAATCAGAAGCTCTTATTTTCCCTCTTTAATAGCAAAAGAAATATGATAGTCAATAAAACTGAAAATCAGTAAATTAAAAACAGATAAAAAGAAATACTTATTTTTTAAAAAAAATAACACACCATTAATCTATGGAATACATTGTTACAAGATAGCAGGCAGCCTAAGAGTCGAATACATTTGAAAAAGGATTAGAAATGTATATAGATAATGAGATTATCCAGTTACAAAAAAAGGATTACAAAAAAAATATTTTATAAGGGATATAAACCTGTAGGGGTTCCTTGCACCTCTTGTGAAATATCTCATACTGGGTTCTGTCTGAGACAGAATGCTGCACTAGCTGGACCACCAGTCTAATCTGGTATAACAATTCCTGTGTTCCTAAAACAGAATGAAATGTCCACAATTTTTCTCTCTCTCTCTGTCCTCCAAGACTAACTTGCTTATTTCTAATTGATTATGATTAACTAGGTTTAAGTGTAATTATTCACTGAGAGAAACAAAGAGCATTGTTATATCTATGCTTGGCACATTGCAACTAACATTATTATTGAACTTGTGTAAACAAAAAGTAAAAACAAATGGCTCACAGTTGAAAAAAAATCTAAGATGCTTTGTTTAAAATAGCTTTATGGTAAGCAAGCGAAATATGCTTTAAATAAAACTCACCACTAGACAATAAACATATTTGTTTAATCTTCTTATGTAGCTAATTAAATGGGAAAAATAAATAAAAATAAATGAATGATAGAAAGAGAGAATAATCAATTTTGGGAGGCTGAATAAACATGTATAGATGTGAAACACAACAGATGGAGGAAATAACTTATTTTCACAATCTGATTTGGATAACGACAACAACAGTATGCTAAGAGAGCCGAGTATCCATGTCCACACTGCTTGGCTTTATTTCATACATCTAAGAGTTCTTCAGGGTTATTACTGATCTGGGGCAGCCAGGTTAATCATGGACAACCATGTGACTGCCACCAGTCCATGACCAGACAGTCAGAGACTGGATAATTGAAGTATTATTTGATTCACATTATACTGTAGATGCGTGTTTCATCCAAAAACTTCAGACCAGGAGATTTGGCTTTTAACAAGAGCAAAATGCAAGGCATTTTAGCTTAATAGGACTGAAATAAGCAAAGGAACTAAGGTCAACTGTACGATGTGATGATACTTCTGATGCTTCAATTTCAATGTCCTACCTGATCATAAGACATCAGCAGAGGGTCAGTGACCAAATCTGTGTGCCCATACGGTAACATAGGCAATACGTGGCTTCTCAGACATGCTCCAATGTGAGGGCTACTCAGACAGCATTTTAAATAGAGTTTCTTGCAACTCCAGAAGAAACTCAAAGAAAGGGAAGACGCAAGAAAAAGAAAATAAGGGGAAAGGAGAGAGGGAACAGAGCAGTACCTACTAATCCTGTCTGTCCCATGATGACTACGAACTAGTCACCGTATAGGTCTCTATTTATCTAAAACATAACACAACACAGTGCTCTTTCCGCTTTTGTTTGTTACTTTGTAAGTGGCAGAGAAAAGCTAAGCCAAGATGTGGTTGTACATAGTCATCTAGTCATCCCTATTTCAAAACAACAAAACAAAATATTGCTTAGGGCCAAATCTCACTCACCTTAGTCAAGTAGGTGGTTTCCCTGAAGTAAATGGGATTACTTCTATAAATCACACGGGCAGGATTTGGTCATTGCTGTGACTTTGGGTGCGTGGGGTTAACATTTAAAGTGGATGGTGAGAGACATTTTCTGTTATAATCTAGCATTGCGGCTGCTTGGATTTTTAGTGGGAATGATTTCCTCCAATATTTTTCTTCGCAATAACTCCTGAAAATAAAGCAGAAGGTATATTTATCAGCATCACATATTAGATCTGGAATGTCACTGAAAATGTCTTGTGAAAAAATACGACGGCATAGGGGCAGTACCTCTGCCCCAATCTACTCCCTTTGCACCACTCTGGCAGCTCCAATGAAACAGAAATCTCCCCTTTTGGGGATAGCCCTCCTGTGGGGGAGTCCCCAGCAGCTGTATAGTTCCTAGGGTACCCAGACCTGCAGGTTGGTGTTGGGGGATTCTCAGTTCATGAATTATAGGTATAACAAATACATTTGCCAAAAATAAATTTGCAATGAAAATACATTATAAATCAAATGTACATACTATTCATGACAGAAATGTTAGCAGGCTCTCTATCAGTTAAGAGCTTTATTGTCCCTCTTAAACACAAGGGACCAGTAGCGTAGTCTCTTGTTCGCACTTCCCCTCGCATACCTATCTCTTACGAATATACAGTATGTGCTTGCCTCTGTGACTGGCTGGTTCAGCTAGTGGAGGGATTGGTGGACCTCTGCCTCCTCCCTGGTCACTTTGGGCTGGCTAGCCCTCTAGTCCTTACTTATATGAGTTCAGGAACTGCAGTTGTCCCTAGTCACTGCACAGGAGGCAAATGGGGGAGGGTCCTTGAGCCCTGCCACTCCTGCAGATTTGTTCAGCGGTCAGACAAAATTTGTTTGTAAATCTTTTATGTACACAAGTGAATGAAGCAGTGATCACTCAGGCCTCAAAGTAGAAAAAGTTCTACTTGTCTTCTGAAAGTTATAATGTTCTTATCCCCTGTTTGGATAAGTTCAGTTCCATGAATAAACTGTACCCAACTGCAAGATATACAGTAAGGTTGCTTATTTACAGAGCCTTACTGCTAAGACTATAAAGCACCAGTTTGAATACAGAGTGTTGATTTTGTGTCACTGGAACCTTAACATAAAAATACCCCAGCTTTATTGGGGTCCCTAGTCACTGGACACAATATAACCTAGTGAATTGGTAACTGCGTTATCTGAAGCTTATCCATGTTTCTTCTCATACTTGTCTAGGGAGAACCATCTCTACACTTATTTGGTTAAGGTGTGCAACGTGTTCTCTTGTTTTGTATAAGTAACTGAAATCTCATCCTATAGCTCATAAAATGTGATTGCATACAAGATGTTGATGGCCTAAGGGAAGTTTTGAACAACTGAGAGTCATTATTAGGATTTTGCTGCAGAAGCGAGACATGATCTGATATCTTTTCCAGCAAAGTCACGGAGACATCTGACAAGCTGACTGTGAATTTCAAAGACATTATGTACAAAATGCATTCATACACTTACCACTGTGAATAAGAGAACAAAGACTTTGCAAAATAAAGAGCTTTCTGTAGGGTATGCATCTATGTAGACTCATGTTATTCTACATCAAGGTGCTGTAATATACACATGGCCAGAGATCTGCCAATTTCAGATGGTATTAACAACTTATGAGTTTGGCTAAAAATACCTGTATCTGATCCACAATTATGAACATGGAAAATGGCTAACCTGGTAATGTATGGTTTTAGAATGATGGAATAATTCAGACACCTCAATTGCTTATCAGAGAAGCTGCTAGCAGAACCTCTTTAACATATGTCATTCAACATATTAGATCTGTGAGGATCTGAGGGGAGATTGAAGACCCTTAGAGCGCTGCATGAGTTACTGGACCAACGTCAGAAGTGAATCTAAAGGAGGCTAAGCTCTTTCTACTTAAACCTTCTTCCTGTACTCTGCCTGTTATTTACACTAATATAGCCTTTCTTAGAAGGAATTAGACCCACAGTTGCTTACTGGCATGTCCTTAACCCTTTACACATCACCTTTTCTATTGACCCAAGCTGTTTTAGGGGGCCTGAGATTTTCAAACCTGAGTTATGTGACTGAATTCCATAGTTGATTTTGAAAATCTCAGACATAAAGACACAAACTACATGCTAAAATACTAGAATATCTTATGCCATCTTATACTGCCTTAGACTCCCCTCTAAATTTGGCATAGTTGAATTGATTGCCAAACACAGTCCAACTGTCTCAGACACTAAACATGCTACTTCTGTGAGAAGCCTGCACAAAAATGTTCACCAATAAAATTTTAGCTCCTTCCCTGCTCTAAGTTGCATAAATATTATTTTATTTAAAAAAAACTTTGCAACTTATAAAATACAGCAAAAAAAAATCAGTTCTATTTCAGACTAACTATACCCTTAAAACAGGACTTTGCTTGAATGTCTCCCTCAGCTGCTGACAGGAACAAATATGTAAACTTAGAAAACATGTCAGGAAAAAAATAGTACAGAAGATGGTGTTTCTCTCTGATGCCTGTTATTGACAGCCCACATACAAAACACTTAAAAGCACCCAGACACTTCTTTTGTGACCATTTTTAAAGGGTTTAATGAAACATATACACACTGACATTTTTCAACCTACAGCTTTGGGTTTTTTATCCCAGTGTCAGTTATTTTTTTCAAATCACAGGGCAACAGTTTTCTACTATATGCCTCAAACTTATACCGTCAACATATAATGAAACCTATTTACAGCCACTAAAAGGATTTTTGTTTTTCTGCCGAACAGGTGGCTGGATAATAGCGCAATTAATATGGAGGAACTGTAGTTAGGACTGAGATTTTACTCAGGACAGATCAACTAGAACATATAATCACAATTCATAGGTGACTTTTGTACATATTTCACTCTATATTCTATTTTGTACTATTGCAGTATGTAACACTGCATTGTAAAATAAAAACTAGGGCTTTGATCATTCCAGACAGAGCCTTTATTTTTTTCTTTTTCTAAATTCTGATTGGCTTGAATGATAGCAGGTAACTATTTATACTCCCTATAACAGCAGTTCTAAAGCAGGTAGTATATTAGCACAAATTCAGACCAGCCATGCTTTCAGAAGGCAAAATGGCTATTATATCCCATATCCACAGACCTCTGTATAAAAGATTTGCTCTACTTATATATTTTTAAAAGTGTAAGTAATTTTTAAAACGTTACTTTTTGCAACCGTTATTGCAGGATAGAAAATACGGCCCTGATCCCATGAAGACTTATACACAACCTTAACTTTATGTACTGTGAGTAGCTGCCACTCAATTTAGTGTGTTAAGTTTAACACATATGGAATTCTTTGCAGGATTTGGGCCTTAATAGCTTTGATTATGAAATACAGAGACAGTTGCCCGAACAATGCAGAGTGAAGAAGAGAAAAGGGGTGTCTGGAATACAAATCCAGAGCTGGAGCTGACTTTTGGAGATGGGTCCTATGTTGACAAAGTTCTGAACCAACCTGCCTGATCCAAATAACACATACTTTTGGGGATTGGGAAGAGCAGAGGCAGTGTGTTCAAAATCTGCACCTGAATTTTGCAGGTAGGGGCCCATCCCTAGAAATATGTTAGCCCCTGAGTTTGGAAAGCATCCCTATTCAGGATAGCATTTAAGCACATGCTTAAATCCAACTGTCATAAAAATGGGATTTAAGAACATGTCTAAATTTCAGCACGTGCTTAGGTGCTGTCCTGAATAAGGATGGATGTAAGCACTTGCTTAAGTACTTTCCTTAAATTGAGGATTTAGGCCCTCTAAGGTATTTATATTAAGTTAGGAGCTTGAATACCCCCTTTGAGGATCAGGGCCTTCCGACTCCAGTCTTTTGTTCCTTAGGGGTTCCATCCAACGTTTATACATGTGAATAATCTTACTCAGCAGCAAAATCCTATTGGTTTAAATAAAAATACTTACCTGAGTAAAATTACTCACCTACTTAAGTGTTTCTTAGGATCAGCCCCTAGGTTAGCATGATACAACTATTGCCCTTCAAAGCTGCACTCAGCAACTCTTTATGAAGTAGATCTAAATGAAATACATGGTGCGTGTTCCATATTTATGCAGGGGATATATTCGCGCACATATAATCCCAGAAATCCTGTGGCGGGGAGGATCTGTAATCTGACACACACCACATCCTATCATCACAGGATCTGCCTGTGCCAGGGGGTGTTTATCAGCCGGGAGGCTTCCCTCTCCTTCCACCTGCACATATGTGTATATATATAGAAACTAGTTAAACACAGGCTGAGTCACGGCCGGGGAGCTGGGCCGGGGATGGTAGAGAGGTTCCTGCCACTGAAGCAACTGACGGCCCTTCTTGCAGGCAGCTCAGCGACCTCCCATGGGGCGGGGGGGTGTCTTATGCGCCAGCTCGGAGGAAGCCCGCGAAACCGGGCTCTCCCCAGCGGCTGCACGCCTCCTCTGTTACTTTTCTCCCCCTCAGTCACTGACAGCAGCCGTAGTAACAGCTGTCAGTGGGGTGAGGGTGCGTTGATCTCCCACCCACCCCCCCACGCTCCGCCTTCATGCAACCCAAGCGGGAAAGCGCTGTACCTCGCTTTGCAGAGCGAGCCCCGCACTTGACACTCACGGCCGCGCCACGCGCGGGCGGGAGGCAGAGCCGCTGTCCGGTCCCAAAGCCCCCAGGCGCTTCCAGCGGCTGCAGAAGAGGGCAAGGCGGAGCTGAACCAGCAGGGGAGCCTCGGCTAGGGCCGAGCGAGGCAGGCAGGCACTCCCCCCACCCCGTGTGGCAGCTCGGGTGCGGGGCGCACGCACGGCGCCGGGCAGCCGGCCCAGCAGCGGCGGGCACTGAGCGGGAGGGGAGTTTCTCGCGAGCAGCGGCGGCGGAGGGAGGGAGCGAGCGGGAGCCTCCCCCGCCCCTCCCCTCCCCTCCCCTCCCCGCGCGCAGAGTCGCACTCGGCAGCATGTGGTGAAGTGCCCAGCAGCGCCCCGAAGAGGAGCCCAAGTTGTGCTCTGCTGCGCCCAGCCACACGGAGCCTGCCCGCCCCGCTCCCTGGGCGGCCCCGCGGCAGGGATCTCCCCCCCCGCCCCCAGCCTCCTGGGGACAGAGAGGAGCCTTTCCCCGGCCGGGGCTACTCCCAGAAGTGTGATGTGGCTCTTCGGAAAGTGACAGCCGCAGGAGGAGCAGCAGCGCCGGCGGGCAGTTCCTCCCCCCAGCCCCGGCTCCCCGCTGCCTCCCATGCCTGCGTGGCCCCACAGCGGGGCGGCGGCCCCGCGGGAGGAGCCGGGGGAGGCGCTGCTGTGATGGCCCTGGACCAGAAGCGGGAGAAGAGCGCGTCCGTCACCCCCATGATGATCGAGGAGGACGCCGCCCTGCGGAACGGCAGCAGGGGGCTCTCGGGCCAGTGGGCGGACGCGGTGGGGGTGAGACCCCGCACCACGGAGCGGCACATCACGGTGCACAAGCGTCTGGTGCTGGGCTTCGCCATCTCCATCCTGGCGCTGCTGGTGGTGACCATGATCGCGGTGCTGCTCAGCGTGCGCTTCGAGGAGTGCAGCACGGCGGCGGCGGCCGCGGCAGACAGCCCGGGCCGGGCGAGCGGCAACGGGAGCCTCCCGGGGGCTGCCCGGCTCAACCACGACGCTGGGGAGCCTCCCGGCCGCCAAGAGGAGGCGCCGGGCGAGGAGGAGGAGGAGTGGCAGCGGCGACGGCAGCCGCCGCCCTGGACCCAGTTGCGCCTGCCCCGGCACCTGAGACCCCTGCACTATAACCTGATGCTCAGCGCCTTCATGGAGAACTTCACCTTCTGCGGGGAGGTGAACGTGCAGATCGAGTGCCTGAACGCCAGCCGCTACATCGTGCTCCACGCCCACCGCGTGCACATCCAGGCCGTCCAAGTAGCCGAGGACAAGCTCTCCGGCGCCGTGCGCGTCTCCAGCTTCTTCCTCTACCCGCAGAACCAAGTCTTCGTGGTGGTCCTCAACCGCAGCCTGGAGGCGCAGAGAAGTTACAACCTCAAGATCATCTACAGCGCCCTGATCGAGAACGAGCTGCTGGGCTTCTTCCGCAGCTCCTATGTGCTCCACGGGGAGAGAAGGTACGGCTGCTCCCCCTAAACCTGACCCACCCCATCACCGGCATGTGCTTCCATAGAGGGGAGAGGGCCAAGGGCTGCCCTAACTATGAACGCCCCAGGTGATAGATGCCCCGTTATCCTCAGACTCATAGTCTGCAGCCACAGGGGACACCCCCTGACCCAGGATGGGCAGCTACCGGTGTCGCCCCCCTCCTTAGCCTCAGTCTCCTTTTTCTAAACATGGATTTAACATGACTATAAAAACAATCTCTAGGGACCACACCCTTAATAAAGCACCGCTAGTGGGGCAAGGAGTTTGCCGGGGACTCCGAACGCGGCGGGAGTATTAAGTTAAATGTTCAAGGTGGTGCCAAATTACAGTTAACTTTTGCAAGCGCTGGGCGTGAAATGCATCCGTCAGCTCCCCATCGCCAGTTGTCCTCGAGAAGCCTGTCAGTGGCCGGGGCAGGATCCCTGAGGTTAGACGTAACCCAAACGTGACAGAAAAATCGTTACTAACTTTCCACTTAAAGAAGAGGGAGCTCGGCTGGGCGCTAGGACCTGGTACGGTTCAGCTCTGAGTCGCGTTCTCAAGTGTATGGAGTTCTTTTCATGCTGTAGATCTTGCCACTGACATTTCTACCCTTTAGACGCTTTGATTATGAGATGCAGTTGAGAGAGAAGGTCTGCTCTGACGTGACCATTATTTAGAGCACTGAGCAGGGATTCATTTTAATCCTATACCGAACTTTCATGCTAGGGTCCCCGCGTCTTGTAGCTTGCTGATTGCCAATAAGGAGAAGTGAGAGTGAATAATTAGCATACCAGAGACCTTTGCATGCTTCTGTTAGGAAGTAAGGCTAGTTATTTTCCAGAGAGCCAGTCCTGCACCGTACTCAGGCTAAATTCCCATTGAGCCACTGGCAGTTGTGGCTGAGTAAGGACTGCAAGCACAGGCATTTTTGTGTTACAGCTGTTCTGGTCTTCCCCCCTCTTTTGAGGATTGGTCCCTCTACATATAATTTGTTCAGCAACTCCTAGGGTCTGGTGATGAGAGATGCTGAGTGTTTGCAGCTCCTGTGGAAGTAGGAGTTACCATTGTTCACCTTACCTCCCCTAGTGATGTCCAGGGGAACTGAAGGTACTCATAATCGGTGCTCTAATCTTAAAGTTAATTAAAAGAATAATTAGGAAAATCAGCAAAGGGATGACAGAGATAATGCAAAAACAAAAAAAGGGAGACTTTTTTTTTTTGAGATTTTTCTAAATCAAGGTATCACTGAGAGGCTTCCAAGGGAAGTTTCACTGATTCAGCCAGCCTACTCTATCATAGTATATGCGGGGAGAGCATGTAAATTTTATCATTCAGCCAGGTTTCCAAAGCAGTTTTATCCTAATAAAATGCAGGCTACTTACTCAATAGTGCTTACTTGACAAGGGTGAACTATTTCCTGGATATATTTTCATGTTAGTTTAATCATCTTTTAAGGTGAATGAAACAGTCAGTCTGTATGCTTACAGCTAAACAGTCCAATAGGTATACAATAGATGATTAAAATGCATCTTTATATATTTGTTCCTTTATTATGAAAGCAACAACTGTGCATCACTTCCAACATATAAGAAATGTCTTTGCACAGCTAGGGATTGGACAAGTTGAAAGAATCAGCTTTCAATTGCATCATAAAGTAAAACATAATAGAAAGCTCACTTGTAGAAAAGAGGTCTGTTTAATAAATTCTTTCTGTACCAAACTAAAATATGTTTATATAACAGAGCCTCCTTACCTATTTTTTTTAAAAAGAACATTTTGTGCATTACAGTAGGACTTATAAGTTTGTACTGTTGTTACCTACGTGATTGCATTTTATTCAGAAAGCTTGAAGCAATCTTTTAGGACCTCATTCGGCTGTCACTTTACTCCATTCACTTCAGCTGAGTTACTGCATATTAGGTTCTAGTCTCTGCTTAAAAGTTTGGTTTACATAGCTAAGTCTGTAAGGGGTGTGAAGAATCTACACTTCTGAGCGATGTAACTATGTTGACCTAACCCCCAGTGTATGCAGCTAGGTCCACAGAAGAATGCTTCCATCAGCCTAGCTACCGTCACTCAGGGAGGTGTTGTTCCTGCACCAATGAAAAAAACACATCTGTCAGCATAGGCTGTGTCTACACTGAGGGGTTAGGCTGGCATAGCTATGGCACTGTAGCTATGCCAGTATAGTCCCTGTAATGTAGACATGTAGAGCCCTGCAAATCTGCAGATATTCGATTTATGTTTGTGGATCGTGTATCAGATGCAGATACAGCTCTATAGACATGGCCACCAATGTTATTGAGAGTGGAATCAGTCCTTTATTCGCTATTTTCACATGACAATAGATGTTTTATTAGTATTTATTTTAATTACTGTAGTGCCTAGTAGCCCTGGTCATCAATTAGGACCTTATTGTGCTCGGAGCTGCAAAAACAGAACAAAATGAAGGTCCCTACCCCAGAGGTCTTACAATCTAAGTAATAAAGAAAGCGGGCCTGACTTCCTGATAGTTATGTTACTAGGTCTCCCAGAATTAATTTATTTTTAAGATGTCTGTCATAGAAAATCCTAGTTACAGATTCTCTCTGTCTAAACATAATCATTTCTTTGATACTGCCTGCTAAGCAAAGAGTTTACATGGGGGCTAGCAGGCCAAAAAAGTAAGGAAGACAGAAAAAGAACCTCCCCAATTCAATTATGTCGACATCCCCCTTATTAAAGCATGCTTTTGTTGCTGATGATTTTAAACCGACTGATGTTAAAATCCCAGAGAGGGGTAGGATTACAGCTGTTTGATTTGTCGTCAGACCAAAGTAAAATGACATTTTTGCAGAGCTCAGTTGTAGAAAGGGATGCTGCCTCTTACCTGATTAAGGACTGTGGCTGAAGTAATCAGCATTCTTCTAGTTTGTTCAGAATCTTTGATTCTGTAACAAATGAAATATTGTGAAGGAATTCACTTTACAACATAAAGAAATGAAAAAGACACAATTCACATAATTATCTCACTTCTGAACATTTCAGCTTTGTTGAAAATAATTAAAGGAAACTTAAATATACAATCTAATATTTCAAAAAAGTAATTGTAGCATAGTTATAATACTTTTTCACCAAGTATGATCAAGTATTTACAGTCGAATGTTTGTTAGAAGCAAGATAGTTTGACACACAATTATATAATATATAGTACTCCACTCTCATAGTGTGATTATTTAGATCACGACTCACTCTCTACTGTAAATATACTTAATTGACTTCAGTGGCATCATACTACTTTACACAAGCTGAGAATCTAGCCCAATATAATTGGGTCAATGAAATTATGCTTATTTATAGCAGTTTAGGACCCTGCTCATTTATGTTTAATAGAATATGTATTTTAAAACTGTAACCAAAACTTGTTATAGTTTCAGCTGTTTAATAGAAGTACTGCTTTTCTTTTTGAAATATCACAAACTTAATGACAGGTTTCAGAGTAACAGCCGTGTTAGTCTGTATTCGCAAAAAGAAAAGGAGTACTTGTGGCACCTTAGAGACTAACCAATTTATTTGAGCATAAGCTTTCGTGAGCTTATGCTCAAATAAATTGGTTAGTCTCTAAGGTGCCACAAGTACGCCTTTTCTTTTCACATACTTAATGACTCACTGTAATATTATCTATATAAATACACACTGAACAATGGGGTGTCTGTTCAAAATGTGTTCCTGCAAAGTAGTAATTTGCATTTTGATTAATAACGGGCTTTTCAAATGAAATATGTATAGCTGTTTCATAAGTGTGAAAGTTAGACCAATTTCTGCTATGGCATCTGATAACATTGCTTCTCTCAAGTTATGTGGGATCTTGATGTTCCGGTAGACCTTTGCCTTAACTTTTTGACATCCTTATATTTGTTTGAAAAGTATAGGAACATCATTGGAGTAGTGGTTGCTGTAAAAGGACTATTGATATAATTTTTCACTCATGTTGTACATGAGAAGGGAATAGCTCTGGTTAACTGTGCGACTTCACAAGCGCAACAAGGCTTTCGTAGATGGTTTTACTGTTCCCCCCCTCCCCTTAGATAGAGAAGGAAGTCAATACACTTACTTTTTGACTCCACAGATGAAAGCCGTAAATCAGTCAGAAATGTTGGCAGTACTATGAAAATGTTAACTTTCTCACTGAAGGTATTGTACCTTTAATGAAATGCTAAAATGAAAGTGAAATGATACAAAATATTTTTTGTATCATGCACTGTAATTTATTGGCAGTATCCAACAAACATTAATGCATAGTTTCTGCAGAATGTTATAGTAACTGAGGTGATTATTTACCTTCTGCATAAATGAAATGAAATCAATTCCTTACCACTTTCAGACAAAACAAACACATTGATTCCTCGTTCTTACAGCAACCAAGATGTCAAAATAGACAAGTTGTTGAGGAAACGCATGTCTTTCTTTAATAGATGAGATGGAATTAAAATACTTGCAAATTACTGTCATGGGATGGTGAATAGACAAGCTGTGAGGCTTTCATTCCTGGAAGTATAACTTTTGATGGTGATATTTCTGGGAATTATAAGATAAAAATGGCAGTGCCCAAGGAAGGTTTGTAGAGAGAGAGGTGGCAAAACACCCGAGCTATTCTATGATCTCTGTACGCTAGAGAAATTCTGCACGTTTATCTCATTTCTTTGTTCTTTAGGAGAAAATGTATACATTGTCTTATACACATAGTCAGTTTAATCTTCAGGGATCAGAGAAATTTCAACTGTTTTTTTCTAGTATAACACAGAAGTCCAGATACCGTGATGATGGGCACCTTTTAAGTGCGTGTATAAATATCATTGTTTATTATTATTGGTAAAGTTTGGCATATTTACAATATTGTATTGAATGTAATGAAATATACAGTAACGCACATCTTGCTATTTAAAAAAAAAAACACATGATACAGAATTTATCAGTAGTTAGACTAAGAGATTATTTTCCATTCCTTTAAAGATCTCATTGATACTCTCTTAATATTTTTTAGATGCTAGTCTGTTGAAACAGTGTTTCCTCATTTAGACATTGTCAGAATGAATGTAGAATTCCCTGAGCATGCATTTACCTGTGGGTCTGAGCTCATTAAAATTGTTAATTAGAGAAGAAAGTTCATTAGTCCAAGCTTTATTAACAGCGAGCTCAAGTCCTGCCTTCCATGTTAACTCAAAGTTCCTGTTGAATATCTTGGGTATTGTAGGTGTTCAAAGAATTCAGAATCTGGCCCATTTTAAGCAAGTGGACTAAATGAGGCAAAGTAAATTTCTTTATTGGACAAATTCTGCTCTGTTAAGGTGATATAAATCCAGAGTAATGCAACTGAAGTCAATAGAGTTTATCTGGGTTATTATTGGTGTAACTGAGAGCAACACTTGACCCTATATTTCGCTACCTTCTGCATAAATCTGAATTTACTAACTCCTCATTCATTAATAATGAGACAAGAAAGCCACAGTACAGTGAATGCCTCCCAAAATATTCAGTAATTTTTAACTAAATAAGACATCGATTTTTGGACAAAAGACTGATAACAAAAGTCTGACTGACATAAGAGGCTCCAACATTTTACAAGATTAGCTGTTATGAAAATCGGTCATAATCTCATGTGAAACATCATATTGTGCATGACTGCATATTTGTTTATTTGAAAAGTAACATATTAGGCTTAATACTATTATGGTAAGAAAAAAGAGTCATAAAACTGCCAGTAACTTAATTCTGTGTTGCTCTTATAAGTGCTCTAAACCAAAAAGTCAAAAAGCTCAGTCAGTAAATACACACTTCAATTTTTAGTAAGGTACTCATCTTACTTTTGCTCCATCAGAATTACAGAAAATCATGTTGCAGAATAGTACTCTATTTTAAATTGAAAAGATTACAAGGGCTTTCCACTGTCTTTGTTGGATCAAATAGATATCCACCCACAAAAAACTCTTATCTTACAGTTAAAGAGTAACAGCCGTGTTAGTCTGTCTTCGCAAAAAGAAAAGGAGTACTTGTGGCACCTTAGAGACTAACCAATTTATTTGAGCATAAGCTTTCGTGAGCTACAGCTCACTTCATCGGATGCATCCGATGAAGTGAGCTGTAGCTCACGAAAGCTTATGCTCAAATAAATTGGTTAGTCTCTAAGGTGCCACAAGTACTCCTTTTCTTCTTACAGTTAAAATTTCTCAAGGGCATTTCCCATCAGCACATTCATTAAAAATTTGGAAAATGACTAGTTAAGGAAACATTAGCATTCAAACCAGCCACATATGTCCTGTCTTTACAGTCACATAACCAGTCAATATTCATATTACTATTTGACATGCTATGACACCATACTGCCATCCCACTCATAATCCATACATGTAAAATATAAAGCATACCCTGAAAATGTAAACGTAGGTTCTGTTCCTTCAAAGAGACCAACACTGATGAATTTGCTCCTGAATGTGGGTGTAAGGGTCTGTGCACAAGTGTCCCTTTGCAGGATCAAGAGTCTGTACAGTTTCAAAGAAAAGACACTTGTATGTGTGGCATTATTAAAATGTATAGGTCTCTTTTTCTGTACAACATATTTCAAATTCCTTTTTTTCTTTAAGATATTTCCAAGAGATCATCTGTCGCCTCTTAAGTTGATTGTTTTTCTTTCATGAAATTTATTGGGAAAAGACTAAAAAGCATCCTTACTTGTAGAGGTTGAATTGGTGGCTTAGGTATGTAACCTTGCAAAGCCCACATAAACAGAATGCATCTGATTGGACTTCTGTAGTTACAACACCAATAGATTGTTGTGCGATTCAAAGAGCTACATGCAATTAATACATAAATAATCAGCAGTGGAAAATAATGATCCTCTGGGGTATGCTAAGTGAACATATATTATTATGTCCAAAGAAAGGCAGAGTTTTCTTATCCGTATTTGAAACCACAGTGAGATCCCTGAAGGTCATTAAATCCTAAATTTAACTGAAGACTGTGCTTATTTGTTTTACATTGCAGACCAATATTTCCTTTTACATATATTGCTGAACAAAACTTTGGTGGCAGAATACGAAGTATGAATAGAAGGGAGAGTATTTTATTGAATACCAGTGCGATGTCTGTAAAGTTGTTTCTAGCAAATTTGTGGCTCATTATATTACATGGATTGCATTATAGTACATGTGGAGAGAATTTATGCCAAGAACAACTACATCAAAGCAGAACTATTAGGACGAGAAGTATGTAGTACGTGGATTGTGCTTTGCTGCTTCTGCTAAGAGTTTAGTTCTGTTTATTTTGGTAAACTACCATATTTTAGCAATATCATGTAGTCTGTCCATGACTCAAGCACTGCACATAGTCAATCAGTAATGTCTTTTTTTTCTTTCTGTTTGTGTTCCAGATTCCTTGGTGTTACACAGTTTTCTCCTACTCATGCCAGAAAAGCCTTTCCTTGCTTTGATGAGCCCATCTACAAGGCCACTTTCAAAATCAGTATCAAGCATCAAGCAACCTATTTATCTTTGTCCAATATGCCAGTGGAAACTTCTGTTTTTGAAGAAGATGGATGGGTTACTGATCACTTTTCGCAGACCCCTCTCATGTCCACGTATTACCTGGCCTGGGCAGTATGCAACTTTACATACCGGGAGACTACCACTAAGAATGGGGTTGTAGTAAGTATATTTAATGCTACTTTATATACTATGCTACTAAATATACTATATTTGGGTTCTACATTGTTTTTAGAAAGTTCTTGCTTTATGTAAGGAAACATGATGCCAGCAGTGCTTAGAGTACTTGCTTGTTTAACACTTATAAGGTTTCTTGTTTATTTCAGAATAATGAGCCTTTGCTCTGTCTTTAGCTTTTCCTGATGTTTTGGCATGTCCGATACATTTCAGAATATGCTACTTCACCAGGACAAGTTTCCTGAGAAGACTTTAAGCCTGTAAGTACATTACTGTATTTAGGCTTGATTTTTTTTCTGAAGTTTTCTTTTTGAACTTTTCTCTGGCCTTTTCAATTTAACATTGCTCATAGAGCAATGTACAGAAAGTGTGCAGTAATACCGATGTAGTTCCAATGACCATCCTTCAGTACTGATACATAGTTTGGTATGCTGTCTGCAGAAACAAAGTTGTGGAAGGGCACTTTCCTGTTTAAGTCACACTTCTAAGCAAGAGATCTTTCCCGCACTCCTCACTTGGAGTCTCAGGTTGAAGAAAACAGTTTTGAGAGTTGTGATTTCTGATTATGACACGGTTGCTTGAGCTGCTGCCTTTTAAAAAAAAATCCTTTATGTCAGTTTTGTTTTTGTTTTCAGATATCAAGTACAGCAGAACTGTATCACAAGCCAAAATATACACAAGAAATTCTGTCAGCTAAATAGATTTCAAAATACTGTCAATTTAGATTTTCTGTTGGATTTGCAGAAAAATTGCTCACTCTTGCCAAACTAATCTGCATAACAAAAATAGATTCAGCGTTTAAAAGCAGTAGGCTAGATTGGGACCCAGATAGGGGTGAACGCCACTCAGTCTATGGGGCCCAGGTTGGGAGGCCTGAGGAGCACAGGCCTCCTGGCCTAAGGAGGGGGAGTACTCCCACCCCAGCGATGGAGTTGCAGGGGGACATGGGCCCGCCCAACTCCACCGCGTCCCAGCCCAGGGACCTAACAGTGGTGGAGTGATCCGCCACTGGGTTAGCGGGGATCCGCCCGCAACATGCCTGACCCTGTATCAGGCCAGCTGTCGACCAGACTGTTGCCTGGTTTCCCTGGGCTGCTTCCTATTCTCCCCCTTGGTTGTACCTGTGTCCAGGGGTTGTCCTCATTCTCCCCGGAATACACTGCCAAGGGTAGCAGCGGCAGTTCCTCAGTGTCGGGAGTGGCAGGGCTCTCTGGAAGCTCAGGCTGGTCTCTGGGGCAGCAACAGTTCTCCTTGGTGTCCCACTCCAGCAGCAGGAAAGAAGCATCTGTCTCCTTTGGCAGCTCCCTCCTCAATGAGCTGTTCGGCCAGCCTTTTATACTTACCCTTCCTGTTCCACCCCTTTGCTTCCAGTGTGTGGGGTGTGGCCCTCCTGGCTCCACCCACCAGGTGACTTGCGGTGTTCCCTCCACATCTGCATCTGAGGGAGGCCATGCCTCCTCGCTACCTCACCCTTGTTGGCAGTCTCAGCAGAGAGGACAAGAACTGAACAGCCAGATATGCTGAGATACTCTCTCAGCCCGGAGGGTGGTTCCACCTGTTCAATGTTTTTTCTCTTGTGCTTGTCATTTATACTGCGCCCCTCTCTGTGGTATCTTAGTGCTTGAGAAGTGAGCAGACCTGAGGGACTGATTTACACTGAATAATTCATTAAATAAATTTAGATTCTTTTTTAGCTCAAGTAATATATGAGAGCTTGAGCACCTTCAGTTTATTTTTATTCACATTTATTGCACGAATCTTTCTGCATTTTTATGGTGTGGAATGATTGCAGATATTTCAGATTTGAGCTGAATTATTTCTATGTGATTGCTAAAGTAAGCTGTGTTATTGTTTCTATACCCCCAAATTAAAGAATGCACAGGCACTTCCAGGGTGCGTTTAACATTTGTTTTTCCCAGACTCTGGCACATGCAAATTTAAAAGTTTCTCTTCACAACAATTTTGCCAGTAAAATAGAGTCACTGAAATGTTAATAGAAACTGTGCAAAAAAGCATGACCAAAGCAAATTCACTTACAAACATGAATGGATAGTCAAGGAAATTCATCTAGAGCTGGTGTTGAAGCACCCTCCCAATTTGAGGAATCTTGCTTCAATTGGCGCAACTTATGTGGTGTTTTTTCTGTGGATAAATAAAGAACTTCATTCCTCAAGTACTGTCAGTCTGACACTTTATTGAACTCAATTTCAATTCACAAAACATCTGAAAAAATATTGTGTCTTTTGTGACTTGCCAGCATTCAAATAAATAAGATGCCTCTTCTGGTTTTATGGATCAGTCTTGCTGTACTGAACACTTTCTGGTTAGGATCAAGAGTAATTAAAACTTCCTAAGGAATAAAAGTTACATTAACAGCTGGCTTCATACTAAAAAAGGGATTAAGCATTAGTAGTTGAACTTCCCTCTGAAGGAATGACATTCCAGTATCCAAATGCCTTTCAAGCCAGGTCAATGCACATGGCCTGATAATGGATTCTATCACAGATTTTAATTTAATCTTAAATAGAAATTAACTTTGAGTAGCTAAAGTAGCCCATTCCTAAACAATAAAATGAAAATGGTTACTAATTATGAAATGTCACTTATTACATGGACACACTCACACATTGTTGTACATTACACTCATTGTTGTACATTACAAAGACTAATATGCATTTGAAAACAAGGAATCAAGGGAAGCCAGGCTTTCAGGAGCACAGTTCAGTCCATGTGAGCAGTTAGCATAAAAGTTCAATCCACATGAGGCCTGACCAGAGTCCCTTCCAGAGCACATTCTTCAGAAACTAAGTCATCTCTTTGGGTGTTGTAAGGCTGTATGATATAGTGATTGCATGCTGTGGGTTGCAAGAAAAAATACAGGAATTGTGGAGTTGCTTTTAAACCACTCTGAAGCCCTTTCTCCTCTTCTTCTGCTTAAGTGTATAATCCAGAAAAATCCACTAGATGACTAGAACAACCTTTAAATATTACATTCTCCACATACCTTGTTACTGTCTGAATTTTGTTAGATAATTACACACTTCCGGCTGGAAATTAGAAGGAATTTTCTAGCCATCAGAGCCATAAGGTTCTGGAATAGCCTTCCAATTGGCATTGTGGGAACAAACAACTTTGTTATTTTAAGAGAGTGCTGGACAAATTTGTGAGTAGGAATGTGTGATGGGATTGCTTGTGAAGGTGAGGGTAGGGTTGAGCAGCCCTGAGGGTCCCTTCTGGTTTATGTCTAATGTTCCTAAAAATGTCATGCTTCAGGGTTTTAGCTGGTCAGGAAGGGATTGGAAATGACTACTGCTCTAAGGTGGCACTGACCATTCTTTTTCTTAGGTGTTCGGCTGGCTAGATCTTGCTCACATTCTCAGGGTCTAACTGATGGCCCAGATGTGGAGTTGGGAAGGAATTTTCCCTCAAGTCAGATTTTCAGTGACCATTTTTGACTTCCTGTGCAGCATGGGATGTGGGTCACTTGCCAGGATCATCTCACTTGATGAGTTCCTTGCCACCGCAGGGGCCTTGGACACTGGTGCACCTCAGTCCCTCCAATTCTCTGCCTGTAACACAATAATTTAGTCTCCTGAGGGCTTTAATACCTTGGTCTAATTTCAGTGTTGGGTTTAGTGTGTGGGTGCTAGATGATGTTGGTGGCTTGTGATACACAGGACTAGATGATCTAGTGGTCCCTTCTGACCATAAACTCTGACTCTATACTTATAATTCTCACAATATCAAATATATACCACTTACCAGTTTTAAGGGGAAAATCCTGAGGTCTATTCAGGGCCATATTGCACCATCCCTGACTTTCCCATTAGTCCCTTCCTTCTTCATTGTTGTCTTGCCCCATCCCCTCAGTTCCTTGCATCTTCTTTTTCTTCTCTCTCATCCCTGTCATATTCTTTCTTTCTTCTGGCCACCTTCCCACTCCCCTTCACTCTCTCCTGTGCCCTCTTCTCCCCAGACCTCTCTTTCTCTTTGTTCTTCCTCTTCAGTCATATAGACATAGAAACACACTCCCTCCTGCATGCCACTCCCCAGCCACACTCCACTGATTCCCTTTCTCACTTCTCTCTGCCAGCTTCCTGCCCTTCACTCCAAGTGGCGGGGATGGGTAATTGTTTACAGACCAGGAGGTATCAGCTGGGGATATGGGTTCCTTTACAGCTGGGAAGGGACGGTACTGGGAAGTTTTTCTTCCACACTGTTTGCTCATGGAGGGTGGGTGGAGTCAGGGGCACTGGAACAGGGTGGGCCAGAGGGCCATGGCCTCTCCATTTTTAAAAGTGACCACCAGATCATTTACTGGCTATAAGGGAGAGCGACAGGGGGAGAGGGGTGGAGAGGAGCGAGCAGAAGGCGGAGCATTTGGGGAAGAAGTGGCATGGGAGCAGAGCCTCAGAGGGAAGCAGGGGCGGGGCCTCGGAGAGAAAAGGCAGCACAGAAGTGGGACCTCAGGAGGAAGGGGCAGAGCAAGGGGGCGGGACCATGGTTCGGGGGCTGGTGGGCCTTCCCTTTTTAAGGAGTATCGGTCACCCCTGGGTGGGTACAGCCTAGTGGCTTACAAGTGCTTGAGTGACTGCTGCTCACAGGGGGACTGGGTATAGAGAGGAGCAGAGTGAGGAAAGAATGCAACTGGAATAGGGGAGGAGGTACTAGATAAGTAGGAGCAGCACTGGGGCAGATAGGGACAGAGAAGACCAGTAGGAAGTAGGTGGGGATCTGACTAGTCAGTGAGGGTAGAGAGAACAGCTGTGGGAGGGAGTTCAGCCAGGAGAAAGGAGTATGGCTTTCATTGTTGTTGCCCCCACTCCCTTTCCACAACTCTTCTGTTGTGGATGCTGACCAACAGGTTGGCTGAGGGGACAAGATGAGGTGTGAGTAGAGGTGACGCATCGTGGGGGCATGCAGGGTCAAGTGTCCCTCCCAGTATGGGCAGGCACCACTTGTCTATGGGCATGAGCATGGGTTTG